GTGAGAATACTGCTAAAATCCCTCCACCTCTAACATGCTGTGAGTCCATGCTGTGATGCTCCAAGGTTTCTCCATCTTGGCACTAGTGACTTTTTTAGGCCAGACAGTTCTTTGTCGGGAGGCTGTCCTATGCACTGTAAGATGGTTAACATCATCCCTGGCCTCTACCCTCTAGATGCCAACAGCACCCCGTGATCCATCTGTCACAATCAAAAATGTCTACAGATATTGCCACATGGGCACAGTAATCCCTCCGCTCACTGCCCAAGGACTTCAATAAGGCCAAGATCATGTGATTCAGTGGAGAAAGGTCTTTTTCTCCAACCCCTTCACACCTTTCCATAGACTTTTCAAACACAACCTCCTTGTCCTTTGCTAGCTTCTCATTTCTTAAATGCCCTCCATGGTCCAGGGGGTGTCTAGTGTGATAATGAACCAATTGATTTCATGCTTTCTCCTAAGGAGAGTTCACACAGGTTTATGTCCCCTAAGCAACCAGTCAGGCTCCCCAGAAATCCCTCGCAGAACCCTGGCTGGCCCAGAAGCCTGTATCTGCAGCCTGCAGGAGGCCTGGTGAGCATGGGTTTGTCAGCACTCTTAAATCACTGAGCTCCGAGGAAGCCTTCTCCTAGCACAAAGATTCTTCCTTAGGAATCAATAGCTCAGGGCCTTTCATCACACTCGGAATTATCCTGGGACCTGTAAAATTTCTTTTCCCCAAGCATAGCAGAACCCCCAAATGAAAGCCCCAACGTGGGGGAAGGAAGACAGCAGCTCTGTCAAGGAGGTGTTGTCCACGGCCCAGATGTTGCTGCTAGCAGAGGCTGATGTGCAGACATGGATGTTTGGTCTCTTTCACGGGGAAAAGGAAGACCCAGCTCAGTCCCCAATGACCCCGTAATATTATCCCCTCCCATCTATTCTTCTTTACATCTCACCAAGGGCAGAGCCATGTTAAAGACTATCTTTCTTGATGCTCACTATCTTACCCTCATCACAGGCTGCCAGCCTCACCATTTTGCAGAGGAGGAAACTGAGGCACGCAGAGGTTAAGCAGTTTGTCCAAGGTTCCTAAGCAGGAGGGGAGAGTCACATTCTAAGCCTGTATCCTTCCCACTACTGAGCTGCCTTCCCAGCGAGAGCAGGTTATAAGGGTCAGTCATCTAGAGGGGCTAATGTAAGAGGCGACTTCTTATTTCCTCAATGTCTAGTGCCACTTCCACATTCAAACAAAAATCTAGAGATCCCATGCTATCACTGTGTTTTATGTAATTATATTCCTCTGGCCTCATCTGGGAAAAATCCAGGCCTTGGGAATGCAGGCACAACTCTTCATACAGAGCTGGGAGCAGGCACAGATCCCTAGTCCAGGCTCTCAGAACCCCGCTTTCAAGGAAGGGACTGTGGCTCTGTGGTCCACATTATCCTACCACCCGCCTCCCCCACCTGAAGACAAAGACACAACTTGTCTGAGAGCCTGAAGGAGATAAGAAAACTCAAGCACCTTCCCTGGCAACAAGCATCCCTTGGGTGAGCCTTAGGGACAGAAGCAGATCCGCCTCTCGGAATTCTGGCTCGGCAGCACTGGGTCCTCCTGAGGGTCACCGCCAAGTCTGCAGACACCCTGGGGGAAACTCCATGCACAGTGAAAAGGAGCAGGGTGGGGAGAGGACACCGGAGGAGGGGGGCAGCCCATAGGCCACTCAGCAAACCTCCTGCCCAGGGCCCAGCTCAGATGTCGACAGCCAGACTCACAGAACAGAAAAAGGGCAATGGAAATGGTAGTATCTTTCAAGTTACCCAAGAAACCCTCACACGAGGATTTTGCAAAAATAGAACATGCCAGCACTCTGACCTTGAGCTGGAAGCAGCAAGGATGGGGAAATGGGCAAATACTGGTTGGAAACGCTCCACTTCACCCAGGATCCAACTACTGGAGGTCCCATAGGCAGTGGTATGACTACGGGACAGAGAGACCCTACTCTAGCATGCCTGAGTGGAAGGAAGAGCCCTAGGCTTGGGTTCCAAGATCATCTCAAGGGGCCGGGCACTTCTGATTCCTAAATGCATGGAGAGAAACCTGGTTGCATTGCTTTTCCCTACATGAACACTTGGAATAACAAGACAAGATAATGGAGGAAGGGGAAAAAATAACTAGAAATTTCTATTACCTGTACATGTACATTACAAGAGCTTTATCTATTCCTTGCCTCCTCAGTCTGAATAAAAGATTCAGAGGAAATTTTCCCCAAGCTACTAGATGTATTAATTTACCAATGTCTGATCAGGTAGCAATTATAAACACTTATTTTTGCCTGGGAAATCCCATGGACAGAAGAAGCTGGCAGGTTATATACAGTCTGTGAAGCTGCAAAAGAGCTGGAGGCAACTTAGCGACTAGACAACATCAACAACTGTGCAGAGCACACATCAATCTCCATAGTAAAGAGGAAGCAGGTCATGGGAGCGGAGAGAGTTCTCAGTAGCAGAGTGGAAATCCTCGGACCCAGTCCTATCTCTTCCACCAAACAGCCATGTGACCTTGGGCAAGATGCTTGCCTTGACCGGGCTTCAGTTTTCCCATCTGTAAGTTGTGTGCACGTGGGATGGCATTGGAGTCGGTGCTCTTCAATATCCCTTTCTTCTAGCTCTAATATTCCAGGGCCCTATGAGTACTGAGCAAGTTCAAAGAATACACCAGCACCAAGCACAAAGAAAATTTCAGAGAGCAGGTGGGGCTGGGTACCGGCTCTGTTTCCTTGGAACGCTGTACTTGTATCTATCTCCTTGCATCTGAGATCACAGGGCCACCTGAAGTCCAGGAAGTACGCGGTAGAAGGGTTCCAATCAAGAAGGTGACGGTTAAAGGCCTGAGCTTGCTTAAAGCATCAAGTTACTATGGCCAGTGAAGGGCAAGAAGTGAGAAAGTCAGTGGTCCTGAGCTGGGTGCCTTTGGCGCCCCCTACTGGGCACCAAGGAGCTTGCTGGGCAGCTTCCATTGCCTAAGCAGGCAACAAGATTGAGAACAGGACTGTCTGTCACAAGCTGTTTAATAGGCCTTCCTTCCTGGTCTGCGGTCCTGCTCTTCTAAGAATATATTTCACTTCCTAGAATTACATAGACCATTGGCCCACACATTCATAGGGCACTACTGTGCTGCGATAGGACATCTTAACCAAACATCAAGGTGCAGAGTAATAAACATCAGGGTTCGGAACAGCAGGTGCAGCCCAGATGGAGAAAAGAGAAGAAAGAGCAACAAGCAGGTATTTCGCTGTACAAATCCCCAGTGGCGAGAAGGTCTTGGGAAATGCCGCAGAAAAATGTTGACTGCAGGCAGAGGACGGAGCTAGGTTTGGGGGTGTGAATCCAGAGCCCTACTAAAAGATCTCCAGGCTGATGCAGCTGCCCCAGGAGCTCAAAACCCTCATCCACGTTTGGGGATGGGGTACAGGAGACAGTCCCAACTGAGAAGCCCACTTTTGACCTTCTCCAGAGACCATTAGTACCAAATGTAAACCAGAACATTCTACCTGTGGTCCACTGTGCCAGCATCTAGACCTTAAACTCCCTTCATTGCCTCTTAAATGGACTTTAGGACCTGCTGCCAGAAACATGTTCTTAAGTCAGATGGAAAGCAAATGCTTCCTCGAGGGCCATATTGAAACAACCGCCATATTCCCACTTTTCCATTCTCCATCTCCCTTTCCTTGTGGCTGAGAGAGAGGTACAGGGTGACTCTAAATTTGCTCCAATTCAGTCTTGGGTAGTTGCAGCCCAAGTCATCAGGGTCAAAAAATCTCCCTTCTGTAGTGTTTCTCTTCCCACAAGAGTTCTCCCCTGACTCAAGACAGCACTAAAGACTTGTCCTCTATCCCTGGAACCTGCTTCCTTTCCTTTATCACATAGCTTCACTTGAGAAGTCCTGCACCCATCCCAGAAGACACTCCAAGTGTGACTGAAGAAAATGTCTTGCCTGGAGAGCTAAAGCACCTCCTGGGACACAGAGTGGCCACACTAGGTGTACCCCATAGCACCACCAGCAGCAATACTCATTAGTCATTCCCCGAGGGAAGAAAGTGACCCCCCCCCCCCCACTCCACCCCAACCCCAGGCACATTTCACCGCCACTCTGGTAGGCTCCTATCCAGGGCTGGGATGACTTTGGATTCTTGAGTTGGTTTCTGCAGAAACGGGACTAACCAGGACTCTCAACTACTATGCTGCGAAAAAGCGCGCTGCATTGCTGGGCATGCCCCCAAGCTCGGCCTCCTGCCCCATCAAAGCCTCCATGTGCCTCCCCCCGCCCCCTCACTGGGCCGAGGAGGACCCCCGGTTCCCCTGGAATGCCTGAAGCTCGTTTGTCTAAGATTGGATGAAAGCAAGCAGACCACACCTCGGTCCAGCAAAGGCAGCTGACAGCTAAGCCGCGCGGAGCTGGCTCCCTGAGCTCTCTGCCACCCAGCGCTGTGCCCAGGAGCTCGGTTTCCCGGGGGCGGGTTGGGGGGGGGGAGCGCTAGCCTCCCCCAGGGCTTTCCCCCACCCTGGACGCGTAGGCAGCCGACCGAGGCCAGTAGCTTCCCCGGCCCGGAGCTGAGCCTGGTTCGCTGGGTGACTCCCTAATACCCCACGGCACATCCCCCCTCACCTGCTCCGCCCCCTCCCCGCTCCACCGCCCCTCTCCAAACAACTGACCTCCAGGGCGCCCCCAACACTTTCTCTGCCAGCTGTGAGAGCTGTCGCCCCCACACCTCCGCTCCCACCTCTCCTCCACCTCCGGCCCAGCGCCCGCCTCTCCCCCCAGCCCGCGGGAGGCTCTGCACGCCAGTCGAGTCCTGCGCCTCTTGGCAAGTTGGAAACCAAGCCGCTGCCGCCGCCTTAGCGGTCTCGGTCTTCCGTGCCGGCATCCCCGCCAATCCTGCGGGAGGATCCGGAGGGCGCAAAGGGCGGGAGAAACTTTCTCTGCCTGAGGGGTTGGGGGCACTGGAGCGGGTACTCACCCCCGGGTCCGCGCTCGCAGCCATCCTCTGGCTCTCTCAGCCCCGCCGCCTGGGGGCGTCGGAGAGCCGGAGCTCGCTGCCGCTTCTGCCGCCGCCGCCGCCGCCGCCGCCGCCGCCTTCCAGCTCGGAGCCCCGGTCCCGGGCTAGCCTCGAGCCTCCCGCCCCGACGCCGCTCGCTCGCTTTATACAACTCCACTCGAGCGCGCCGGGGCTTATGTAAAGGCTGGCGGAGACCCGCAGCCAATGGCACTGCAGCTGGAGCTGGGGGCCGGGGGTGGCGCGGCCAATCGCGGTCCGGAGAGCCCCGGGAGCCGGGTAGGGGGAGGGGGCGCCTCCCCGCGCTGATTTAGGAGCCGGGATTGCGGTGGCAGCCGCCGGCAGCCGGGCCGGCCGGGCGCGGCGCGGCGGGCGCTGGGGTGGGCGGCGGCGCAGGCGGCGGCGAGGGCGGGTGCCCCCCGCGCCTCGCCGCTGCGTCGCGTAACCTTCAGGAGGCAGCCGGGCCTGGCGAGGGGGGCGAGGACGTCTGGCGGGGCGCTGGGGGCCCGGGGCCGGCGGGAAGCAGGGCTCCCCCGGGAGGAAGCGCCGGGAAGGAAGGCAGAGGGGAGGGGAGGGCAGCGAGCCCCAGGTCCCCGCGGCCACCCCTGTGCGCAGGGTCGAGGGTGGCCGCAGGGGCAGTGGCGTGCCTTCCGGATTCCCAAGATAGCGATCTGGCGTCGCCGGGCCGGGCCAGAGCGGCCGCGCGAGCAGCGCTGATGGCGAGATTTCGCGCTGCGGAGCGAGCGCCGAGCCGATCTTTATCCGGCCTGGGGACGTGTCCGAGAGCCTCCCAGGGACTGCTCAGTATGGAGAGCGGAGCTTCGCGACGGCCCCAGAGGGCGGGGAGCGGGCGAGCACAGCCCGGAGATCAGGCGCGGTGGAGGCAGCCGTGGGGAGCATCTCCCGGCTTCCCTGCAGTTCTCCGCTTTCCCGCTGGCCCCGCTGGCGGTGTCCCTATCCCATCCCGCCTATAGCCGCCGCCCCGCCTGGGCCAGGGCTGCGCCCGGCCCACCTGCTCTGGTCAAGTGCTTTCTTCCAGCTTCCCTCACCGCTTTGCTCACAGGTACTGCCTCCCCACTCATCAAACCCCAGCCCACTGCTGTGGGCAGGATAGTCTCAGCCTCTCAGGACCGGGTGTAGTGGGGGCTAAGCTTGGGAAGAACGCCCTTGATCGGCAGTGCCCAAAGTACTCGCGTGCGGGACTGGAAAGAGACCTGAAGTCAGGCGCCTAGAATAGAGCCTGATACCTAATAGGTGCCAGGAAGGATTTACCTAGTAAGGATTTACTGAATGAACCTTGAATCGAATAAGGACTTTGGGTTTCTGAGAGCTGGGGGACCAGACTTGGGAAGAGAAAGACCTGGAAATAAGCCATCTGAGGAGAAGGGACCTAGGACTGTTTTCTTGTCTATTGATGCCTTTATGACCATCACCCTGCCTTCTGGGCCCTTGACTCCAAATGTCTTCTTTCCTGGAAAGCTTCTCCAGCCCCAGACCCAAGTGTCCCCAGATTTTGAGCAGAACCTTCAGAGGCCCTGCTTTCAGGAGGCTGTGACCCTCCTGTGGAAAGAAATAGGAAAGGATAGGCAATCTTTCTAGCTCTGGGGGTCCTGAATCTAGCTCAGTTTCTTAACTTGCTGAGGGTGGTGGATGCTTTTGAGAATCTGATGAAAACCATTAAATCCTTTCTCTAGAAAAGCATAGACATTTACACACACACACAAACCTTAAGTATAATTTCAGGGTCCTTAGGGACTCTCTTGGGACTCTGCCCAGCGTCAACATCCTGTTTCTCTAGGGGCCTAGAATAGTGGTTTATCATCACCTTCCTCTTGGTGAATGACAGAACTCTTTTGAGTCTTTCAAGAATCTGATTAATGGAATGAGTCTGTGTCTCAGAAAAGTGCTCTATCACATACATACATGTTGACATGCAATGTTAGGGCGTTCATGGATCCTTAAAAGCAGATTCGGAACCTTCGCCAAAGAGCAAATAGACTTTGCCCCGTGGGTACCCAGTCCTCTCCGCAAGGAGTCTGGGGAACTCTGTACCCTGCTGCCTCACACCGCCACCCTGTTTTGAGGGCATCTGAGTCATGTGGTGATGGCCCCGGCTCCACACTTGTCTCTGCATCTCGGTCCCCACCACCCTCTCAGTGTAGAAATAAGTTGCAGGTTGTCATGTTCTGTCTGATCTGTGAGCCTTTCTTAGCCAGAAACTCCAACTCTGGGAGACAGCAAGTGACTGGTAATTAACCAGTTTCACTCAATTCCAAGCTTCTGAGCACACCTTTCCTGGGTTTTGTTCTCACCTCTCTCTCTGCTGGTGAAGCTGTGAGCAGCAGCCCCAGTTGTAGAGCCTCCCCTCACCTAAACCCACCAGATTTTGTAACCAGCGCAGTAATTATCAGATATTAGCCATCCAGATGTGAATAGGCTTTGTGCACAGAACAGCTCTACAATGACCTCATGCTTTCCTGCAGCTAGCCATGTAAGGGTGCAGTGGACCAGAAGTGCTGGGGAGGGACAGAGAAATGCAGGAAATGACAGAGACAGTCTCTCCAGGAAGTTCTCTAGGCGATGCATTTGGTTTCTGCACTTAAACCTGTGCAGATTCAACCAGTGGGCCGTTCTGCTCCTTTTGTTTCTAATTCTGCTGATGTCTTCTGTGTCTATTCAGTCATTTCACATCTCTGTCCACTCGAAGCTTCAGTCCTGCCCTGCCTGACTCACTGTAGACATCTTGCCCTCAAAAATTTCCCAGATGCATCCTGCTTTCTCAGGGCACGTGCACGTTTATGGACTGAATTGTGTCCCCTCCAAATTCATCTGTTGAAGACTTAACTTCCGCTGTGACTGTGTTTGGAGATAGGGCCTCTAAAGAGATAGTTAAGGTTAAATGAAGTCAAAAGGGTGGGACCCTAATCTTTAAGATCGGTGACCTTAAAAGAAAGGAAAGACGTTGAAGCTCTCCCTTCCCCCTCGGGGCATGCACAGACGAAAGGTCATTTTAGGACACAGACCAAGGTGGCCATTTGCAAGCTAAGGAGGGAGGCCTGCGAAGAAACCAAACCTGCTGGTGCCTCAATCTGGGACTTCCAGCCTCCTACTGTAAGAAAATGAAATTCAGTTGTTTAAGCCACCTGATCTGTGATATGTTGTTATGGCAGCCCGAGCAGACTAACACACATACACACGTTTTCAATATGCTCCTTACTCCCATCCAGCTTTTTCAGTCTCCTCCCAACACATTGACTCTCTGTACTGTCCCTTTAGATTTTGCCCTTTCTTACCTGGGACACTTGCTTAAAATGTTTTCTCATCTTTTGGCACCCAAATCAAGTCTCACCTCCCCCACCACCTTCCAGAACTGCTCTGGCCTGTGCTGGAGCTTTGCCTTTTCTGCCTTTTTTGCAGGTCTGCAACATCTTAGCACTCTATTGTACACATTGTCCTGTGTTCTCTCTAATTGCTTCTTACCCAGAAAGCTTAGCCTTCCTCTCAGAATGGAAACCTCTTGAAGTCCAGAGTTTGTATCTTGTACTTGGCTACCACATAGAACCCAGTGTGAAACTGGGCATAGAATGAACACAAGGTTTGTTGATTAATTAGTTGTAATGAAACATGTTTATGTTTCAAAAACCTAGACAGACATCATATTAAAAAGCAGAGACATTACTTTGCCAACAAAGATCCGTCTAGTCAAAGCTATTGTTTTTCCAGTAGTCATACATGGATGTGAGAGTTGGACCATAAAGAAATCTGAGCGCCAAAGAATTAATGCTTTTGAACTGTGGTATTGGAGAAGACTCTTGAGAATCCCTTGGAATGCAAAGAGATCAAACCAGTCAATCCTAAAGGAAATCAACTGGAAGGACTGATGCTGAAGCTGAAGTTCCAATACTTTGGCCACCTGATGCAAAAGGCTGACTCGTTGGAAAAGACCCTGGTGCTGGGAAAGATTGAGGGCAGGAGGAGAACGCGACAGCAGAGGATGAGATGGTTGGATGGCATCACCGACTCGATGGACATGAGTTTGATCAAGCTCCAGGAGATGGTGAAGGACAGGGAAGCCTGGTGTGCTGCAGTCCACAGGGTGGCAAAGACTGAGTGACTGAACAACAACAGCGTTTCCAAAAAAATGCTAGAAAAGTTTCACAGCACTTCGTTTTCTGAAAGCTCAAGACATCTGGGGTGTGTCTTCTCAGTTGTCTTGAAAGACCGTTGGAGCAGGGGCTATCATGAACCAACTCTCTCCTCTGGTTCAGGATCAGAGGGTCATATAAGTTATAAGTTAGAGAGCTGTGTAGCAGGGGTCCACCACAGCCTTCCGCTTTACTGTCCTCCTCTCTGCATCATACTCAGCCAGCCCCTCAGACTACAAAGCCACTCCACTACAGTGTGGCAAAACCTCAAAGTGCCCAGGCTGCCTGGGTACAGATTAACATTATGAATGGTCATCTATCTCCATCACCACTCCCAGGCTCCCCCCAGATCCTAAGGGTCTCTGACTGTTCTCACTAAACTTTTCTAGGATTTCATAATGCCCTCTGTCATCTAGTCTCTCTTTCCCAGGTCTACTCTCTCTACCTGGAGAAGTTTGCCTGTAGCATGTGCTGCCATTTTAACCTGCTCTGAACTCGTTCTCTGGCCATCTGGAAGTCCTTCATGGTTTGTGGTTTCTCTTCAAGAGCTTCTGTCATCTTCACCCCTACTTGCTTCCTTTCAAATGTTGCTTCTCTACCTCTGCCATTTATCTGCCACTGTTAACACAAGTCTGTCTGAAACTCACCAGCCACCAATAAACATGCAGTCCTTAGAGAAAATGGACCACAACCCCATACGGCTTGGTTTGAGAAGAGGTCATTTCCTCACGCTCCCTTAAACCTCTCACTTCTTTTCCAGTTCTCTTCCAGTACTGGAGCTGCTTTCCCACCCCCTCCCAACAGATTCATTCCATTCCACAATCCCCTACCTGCAATTCCGAATTTCCAAATCTCTGAAAATCAAAATGTGGATTTTGGGGTTTTTTGGTTTTCCACGGCTTTAATGCCGAATTTCATTTGGCAACAAAACTGGACAAACTGATGAGAAGCCATTTTATCTTCACACCCACTTAGTATGATCATTCATGTATTTTACTGTCGAAATAGCAATGCGGCCAATTATAAGATGCTGCCCATGACCTCACGGGGCATGTTCAGCATATTTGGTAACTTTCTGAATTCTAAAGCACCTGTGGCTTCAAGGGCTTCAGATAAGATCTGTTGGAACAGGAGCGTCTTTAAGAGCTGAGGTTCTCTGGCCTTTCCTCACCATCTGGAGAGTAAGAAGACAGCCAAGTGGATCCGTGAGGGTCACAGGGAAACCAAGGCTAGCAACTCTTCTCATTAAGAGACAGAATCCCTGTTTGGAAACTGCAGGGTCCATTACTTCTGATTATTCCACCCTGATTTCATTAACCA